TCAAATTTATTTTAAGGACTTAGTATTTATTAAAAAGATGTTTTTTTTTTTTAAAAAAAAGTTGATATATGGATTTAAATGATTGTTTTGAATTCTTAAAATTTTGTGCATTTGCAATGTACCTAAGTTAGTAGCGAGAGAAGCAAACCATGTAAGATTGTGTATCAATTTTTGGGGGTTGGTGAGCGTTAGTGAGCAGGGGGCGCAGCCCACTAGTTGAGAGAAACATTTTTGCTTTCTTTTTTTTTAAATTTAAGAATAAGAGCTGTCTGTTTCTTCTAAATCGATGCTGTTCTCTCCTTTTTTTTCTTCATACTGTTTTGAATGTATGCTAAGTTTCCTATTTTTCATCTGGTGACGTTGTAGATGGTTTTACCAAATTACATATAGCCAATTTACTATACATAAACACAGTTTTTTCAACAATAGCTACAGTTGTTCGTCAATATAAAGGGTGTATATACAAACTAAATGTCGGCATACTGACGAATTTCTAAACAGTTAAAATCAGTTAAGGATTCGAAAGTCAGCATTTCCATTTCTAAAATTTCTATCAAACGTAAATGTTATTCTAAGTATGATTCGTCTTTATAAAATTTCCTCTCTTTTTTCCATAAAGGAAACTGTGATGTTACTGTTGGGAGGTTTTATTATGGCCGCCGCTGTGGAAGAATGCAAGTTACATGAGAGAATAGCCCTTAAGATTTTACTCACAATTGGAACCGAAATAAAATGGTGAGTTAAAAATGGAAATTTTTTTTAAGTTTGTGATATTTTTGAAAGGAATAAGAACGATCAGTCACATTTTATGGACAGCATTAACCCTAGAAAGACTGAAAGTTAGTGTATACCTAGATTGCCCAAAAGCAATCAAAATGACTGGATAGCAAAAGTATGAATAATGGGTAAAGAAATTTGTTTAAAATTAATTTTTAATATTTTTATATTATTTACAGTAATATAACAAGTTATTAGTAAATATTAACAGTAAAAAAATTACATGTTGTACGAAATTCTTAGTATTTGTGTCATTATATACGTCATTGTTTTTCTAATTGAAATTAAAAGCAGTCAAAATGGCTTCCTTAGGCAATCTAGTTTTAATAACTTTACAATAATCTCTAAGAGAGAAAGTTTTTTTTGTAGCAAAAATTTCCTGAATTAAGGAAGAATTTTGTAGGAAATTATCCGAAATCAAAAATAGGATTTTTTCAAAAATAAAAACAGAAACCTATCAAGGGTGTGATGTAATCACGGTCCTTAACGTAATTTTTAGAATATGTCCAAAAATTAAACACGTAGTATTTTTCAATGACTAAAACAAACAAAAACGCTTTAAAATTCTGGTAAATCAATATCAAAATAAGGAAGATGTAAAAAAATAGTTTTATTGGCAGATGAAACTTGATGTTATTAATAATCGCTTTGTACCACTTTTCTGTATGGATTTGCGTTCCCCGTAAATAGATCATTGAAAGTTCGCATGAATCTATTAAACAAATTATGTTATAAATTCAGATGAATTTGTTCAGCAAAACTTCTTAAAAGTTCCCGAAAATATGTTTTAAAAATTCTTGTTGAAAAGCGGAAACCTCTAGTTTAACTTTGGTCACTATCTTTTTGTTAATTTTTTTTCCTTCATTTAACTGTTCATTATTCTTTTACAGTGACTAGTCTGCTATAGCAACACCTGAAAATCACCCTAAAAACATTTTATTTTCTCAAAATTTGAAAATCTAAAGCTTTTCCCTTGATTCAATTGATGCGATATATATCGATTACCTAAATTGATATGAGTAATAAATGAAATGATCTTTTTTTGTTTGTTTAAGGTTAATGTTAGGATTCATGATTTCAACAATGTTCGTCTCGATGTGGATAAGCATTACGGCCACGTGTGCTTTGATGTCTCCGATTGCAGAAGCTGTGCTAAAAAGGATAAACACACCAATTAAGCGAAATAAGCTACTCAGCAGGGAACTTACAAAGAGTAAAATTACATTTATTTAATTTTGTGTGTAACTTAGAAGATGTTCTATTTACTTTAAAAAAATTCAGTATGAACAGTTCAGCATTTAGCATTGTTAGCATTTGAGCTATAAAATTAAAAAACAGTTAAGATCATAAATTATGAATAATTCTATATAATCATTACTTTATGGTTTTGCTGTGTTCATCTTTGTTTATATTTACTTTTAAGCGATACATAAAAGTATAAATTTGGGTTTTAGCGTAAATAAAATTAAATAATCGAGATTAATATGATTTATTTTAGGAAAAAAAGAACATTCAAGAGGTTTATTTATACAATAAAAAATTGTAATTCCAAAAAGGGACAAATTTGACTGTGAATTGTATAAAGTCCATCTTTAACAAATTCTTACTATTCTACAAAATGAATCACAATAAACCACTATATTTTAAAATTCGTGGCATTAAAATTCCAGCATTGACCTTCTTCCATTGAAATAATAAGGAGAAAAGAAAGGTTGGAAATAGTCATGTGGTTTATTTATGAGGACAAAAATTATCGTGATGTGTGCGGTCTATTATATTTCACCTCTATGGTTAAGCCCATAATAGATAAGGAGACCATAATAAATTTAGCTCACTAGCAGTTTCAGATAGATTTTGTGTACCGCCATCTACTGGCAACTATATTATCATATTGAAATCTACAGTGATCAAATCGAATAGCGAATAAATGACATTGAAGTAAAATCTGTAAAAGCTCTGTAATAGTTTTAGTGTTTAAAGCATTATGTAGTTTTTTTTCTCTACTCCAGAGTAACAGTTACTCCACAGTAACAGTTATGTGAACCAATCTATAAGTATTTTTATAATATGAGAAATTAAAGTTCTACTAATAAATATATAAAATAACAATGATTTTTAAAAAGGAAGAAAATAAATTTCGCACAACTTTTTGTTAATGGAAACTGCAGTTTAAACTTGTATTTTGTAACTTGTATGTACTACGACGTATGTTTTCAGAGGGTAGTTTTAGTTTATGTCCGTATAAACAACAATTTATTATTGATCACTCTTATGAGCAATTTATTTATATAATTTAATCGATTTTTATTTTACAAGACTTAGAAGGATCAGACACATCTTTAACTGAAAGTGTATTAGACGACCACGAAAATGCAGACTTGTAAGTATTCTAAATGAAGTCTTATTTTTTACACTAAAAACTGTTATGCATGTTCTTTCTTAAGAATTAATAAAACACTGCATTATTTAATGTTACTCTGATACTTTCAAACCAATGTTACAACTATTGATTAATGGTGTGTTACTACAGTATTTGACTTGAGTTATTCATATGGCGCAGTATGTCCTTTTTTGGACTTTCCTTTCGCCATTCAACTCAACTTGAGTTATTCATAAATTGAAAGAAATTGAGTGTTATGTTTGCATAAAGAAAATAACAAATAAAAGTAATGAGTTCGGTAACCATAAAATGAAATAGAAATATCAGGTTTTAAGTTTAAAAACTAAAATTAAAAAATAAAAAAAAACTATTTCGACTTACTCTGTTTTATGGGAGTGACCATGACCAAGTTACATCGAACGGGAAGTCTTAAGAAAAATATTTGGTGCAGTTCATGAGAAAAATAGCTAAAAATCCTCATTTTACTTTTAAATTTACCAAATGTACAGCAACCTGATATTGTTAAAGTCATAAAATACAATAGACTAGAATATCTAAGACTAGACCTCTGATCTTTTACTAGACCCCTGAGGAACAGAAAACTAGGAAGACCCCTCGGTTGAATTCCAAGATATTAGGATACTACTGACTCAGTGGAGGACATTCATATAGTAAATTAGAGAAATTGGAAGACCTTGGCTGCAAATAGGACCAAATGGAAAAGACTACTTGGAGCGGACTTGGACTGAAACAGGCCGTAGTGCTTTGATAGAAGAACAATGAAATAAGCAATAAAAATAAGAGAATGCAGTTACTTAAAGAAAAACGTGTTTAAAACCCCTTTTTGATTCAATTATGATTCTGCAAAATCAAATTACATTGTTACACCATTCTATAAAAATATACTAATTCTATACATAATTCTTTGTTTTTTTTTCCTTCCAGCAAACATCTTGAAAGCCACACCATCAGAGTCACTCTTTTCCTAGGTATTTGTTATGCAGCTAATTTAGGTGGTACCGGTACAATTATAGGGACATCCACAAATATGGTGTTTAAAGGAATGCTTGAAGAGTATGATATAATGTTTTATATCCTTACATATAAGTATTTTTTAAAATCAGATTCATTTCACTATGTTTCTTTTAGTATAAGAATTTTTACAAAGTTTTTTACTAAGTTTTTATATACACACGTTAAATATTAGTGTTCGGTGAAGATTCAAAAAGCAAATCAATCTTTCCAGGCTGGGACGTCACTTTAGCTGATGAAACACAAAGTTAAGTGACTTTTCCTCTGTGTCACTGCGTGTATATAGCGAACCTCCTGGTTAGTTAGTCCATCAGTTTGATGTCTGACAAAAGTCATAATCTTAACTTTATCTAAAAATGGCAGAAATAAACTTAACAGAGGGCACCGCGTATTTGTCTCTACATAATTCACTTGATGGCAGCTCTTCTCAAGTTATCTATTTTTTTTCTTTTTGAATATATAAATGAAGACTCCAACTTACTGTGAAAATTGCTAGCTGCCGATTTTATAAAGCTGGAGTCCAACACTTTTTAAGACTGTGAAAATTCTATCATCTCAGAATTCTATAAAACATTTAAACAGATACAGTAAAAACTAAAAGAAGAATCCTTTTCAAACATTTTCCTTTTGTCTGCAAATATCAGGGTTCGCATCCCGGGCAAGGCATGGATGTTCCTTATTTCTATGTATTATCTGTCATTACTGTGGGAATAACGTTGGCCCACCTAATATGGTGCCCCTGAAAGAGTGGCCTACAAATCTGCCCTTCAGATACCTGTATGACGAAAGGTAATTCTCCAGGTGGGCATTGGAAAAATATTTTTGCAAATTTTTGTTCCTAAATTGTTTTAACTGCTTAATACTTACAAGGGAAACTAGGGAAGTGTGACTCGCCAATTTTGAAATAAACTAGTGGGGTGTCTGCCTTATGAGGAATAATTTCAGGGGGCAACATTCGTTTTGGCCCATAGAAAGTCCT